ATATATTAAAATTATTAATTAAAAAATAGAATAAATATATATTAATTTTTTCAAATTAAAATTTTAATGTAGATAATAAGATTTAAATTATGCCCCTACCCTTCACATCCTACGACGTGATTAAAACCTATCAAAATGATTGGTTGTTCGTGAACTGCTCTAGTTCGACTCGTTAAACAAACGAGTCGTACATAAATAAATTTTTTTAGCTCGATATATAAACGAGTTAGATATACAAGATATTTTTTAACGAGTCGAACAAGAGCAGAGCCTGGGCTTGCTCAAGCTCGACTCGTTTACACCCATATTTGAAAGGATTTGATAAAAATTAGTAAGACTCTCTTAGCTTAAGAATAATTCAGGAGGCAAAGAAGAATTCCACAAGCACTCTAAGAAGCCTAACATACTAACATTGTTATGTATAAGATCAATATTTGATGATTTGAAGAGCATAAAGTTAGGTGTTACAGCTGATTTACCGAGTGGATTTTGTGGGATCTACTTCCAAGTTTGGTTTGCACAATTATTTGCTAAGTTTCACACTTTGATTTTAATTAAAATAAGTAAAGCTTGATCCAATGTTTAAGAATACATCAATCATAGGCACAATATCAATACATATCCATTCATTGGCCTAGTTGAGAATTCAAATCAACACAAGTAAAATGAAGAAACCCTACCTTCCCAGGTTTAGGCAAATATTTGCTATCAAAGGGTAGGAACTATGCTAAAAAATCAAGTCTTAGTCATTCAATCCTAGCATATACTTTCAACCACTATAATATATATGAGGCGACGGTGCTGTGGCAACACGACACCGCAATTTTATCATTTTGGGTAAACTATATTTTGATAGCTTTTTCAAACAGCAGCAGATGAAATCTTTATTTTCCCACCACTTCCGACTAGGTGCGGTGACAATTTTCTAGTTGCGACATAATTTAAAAAAAAAATTGTAATTGCCACGATAATTTTTTTAGCAACAGATTATTATTTAGCAGCTTCACAACTGCTTTTTAATAAGATGCTGTTACCTCAAATAGAATCTTGGCTTCTTTGGTTATATGTGCTATGAGATGCTAGAATTTATTCTTATTTGTGCATATATGGACATAAAAGACTTCAGGAAATACCATGATAAGGGCTCTTTAAATTATGCATCAAAATTATAATTTTTCTAATTATTTGGCTCTGTTTGGGGCAGCTCTAGCTTATTGAATAATCTGCTGATAAACTGATTAAAAATAATTTGCTGATAAGCTAGGAGCGGTGGCTACTACAAATTTTTATTTTTTTGGAAAAGTCAGACCGTTGCCAATAAACTCCCACGGTGTGAAAATGCTGTTTTCTGCGTTTTTAAAACTCGTAAGCTGCTAAAACACAGTTTACCCAAACAGTTCAGATTCATTTTCAAAACAACACCGCACCAAATAAGTTGCCGCAAACGGTCCCTTGGTGAATAAGATCCTCTTTTTCTCTTATTACATGCTGCACTTTATAATTGTTGTAGATAACATAAAATCACAACAATACCAAAACGGGTGGTCAGCCAAATTGAGGTGTTTAATGGGTTCGTTAAGGGTTTTATCAGGTTAGGGTTTTAGATTGTCGTTGGACGCGACCTTCAACCTCCTCGCCTGTAGACGATGGGCAGAACCAGCGTCACCCGCATCCTCTCCTCCTTCCGCCGCGCGGCGAGTCAGAGAAGCAATGCCCCTTCTCCAGCCATCGCCCTATTTTTCATTGACGATGCAGCCTGCCGCGGCCGGCGGGGGGA